GTGGCTGGACCTGCTTGTGGATAGACTGGCTACTATATCATATCGGGAGACGTGAAAGAACTGAAGTCAGAGACTGGAAAAGGAACAAAGTATGTTTAGGAAGCACCATTAAGAGTCACCAAGAGCAAAGCAGCACAAAATACAGGTGTCCAACTCCTTTTCCTACTGTTACAGGCACTGAAAGGCTACCAGTAGATATCGAGCAACAGATGCTTATTCCTTCACTGACGTTGAGGAGCAGCATGTATAACATGCATGGGATCTCCAGCCTCACCTCTCAAACAGGGGGCTGTAGAGATACTCGGTAGTGTTAAGACTGACTGCACCTCTGTTACCATATAAATTCCTGGAAAATTTGATGCATTTGGTTGTTTTAGCTAGGCAGCCTTACAGACTGGGAGATATCCACAGAGAAACTCTAACAGCAAAATAGGAAACTTTGTGGAGAAGACGCACAACTGCTGCCAATTTTACTAAGGTTTTGGCCAAGAAACAGCAATTAATAAAATAACATCTAGAGAAAATTACTCCTAAGGTTTCAGCAATGTTTCATACAATCTTCCAAAGTCTACCTCAAACACCAGGACAGCATTGGCAGCCCCTAGGAGACGATGGGAGACAAAACGAATGGCACACCAAGGAGTAGGCACAGGGTATTAGACATGTGCCCATAACTTGACCTGGATTTATGACTTAAAATATTAATTTACACTGTTTATGAAGATCAGTTTATATTAATATACTAATTAAGTTGTGAACAAGGCCTTCTGCCCTCATGCCATGGAGACAGCAGCATCCAGCTGGACAGGGGCAGATGAGCTACAGCCGTGAAAAGGCTGCAGACAAATTTGCTGGTGCACATGGAAATGCCAGGGAAGAGCCCACATCCGTCCTGTCCTTCTGAGGAGGGACATAGTGAGCTGATCCTCACAGCTCTCTGAAAGGGGGTAAAATACTGGCAGCCCAATACAGGCCATTCTTATCAATCAGTTCATCAAATTAACATACCTCACATGCCTAGGAGATCCCTAGAGAGATTTCTCCTGACAGCTTGAATGGATTGAGCCGAGTGACAGCTGAACTGTGCCAGCTGGTAAAAGTTAGATGAGCAAATACAAATAAACAGCCATGGAAATGGGGAAAGGAGGAGTGCTTGGCAGCAAAACACTCAAGTTTTCTTGATATCTAGACTTCAGTGCCATTTTAGCAGTTTCTTTTTTTCCTCCATCTCTCAAATGGATGCAGGGAAAGGCTGAGTACTATCATGTTTCCATTAATCATGTACACAGACAAAAGATCATAGGTTTCCTACATTTAGTGTTCTTCTAAAGTAAACTATTTCAAAGGAGTTAATAGTAATGGCAGTTATGGACAAATCCAATGAAGCAATACAAAATCTACAGGTGAGAAGGTTTCATTCTGCTGCCTGGTAGTTATTTTATTTATGAATACAGAGTTTAAACCTTCTCTTCCTTTCTAAACCAAAACTTTCATCAGCATTATAGTCCTGATTTAAATGAGACTGCATTAAATAAATATTTCCTTGGGGAGGTGGCCTTTACTACAGTTACGTGTTCTCCAAAACACCAAAGTCATGGTAAAAGGTGCCAGCTGATGTGGTGACAAGAGCTGGAAAGGTTTCACTGAGCATCCCAACAGCCCCATGGCAGCGTTTCCACGCTCAGCCCTCCAGGTACTTCACTTGGGAAATAAAAAGTAAACTACCAGCCACGTGTTCATTAAGATACTAAGCAAAACTGGCAGTAATACAGTCTTACCATGGTACTTGCAAGATGAGTGACATGCAGATGAGTTTATGTTTGTGCTTCATCTACATGAATCAAACACCGCAACATGAGATGACATTTTAATTTGTGTAGTCCTTCCAAAAATTACATTTCCTCTTACCTTGAATCTATTAGTGAACAGCTCCAGTTTGGGAAATAACTCTCTGTTGGTATACAGACTCTGAAGAGCTTTCAAACATTTCAACCTCACTTCACCTTGCTAAATAAAACACACTAAGATTAGCTGAAATAATACCCTAATCAAACGCACATGAATATTAAATAATATAATCTTGTAATTTGTTTAATGTACATTTAAAGCTTTATGCAAATGAGATACCAAAGCCAATTTGCAATTCAGCTAAAACCCAAAAACCCCATGCAGCTGCCTACAAAACAAATGTTAAATTTTCTCCCATTTGCATATACAAAGACTTTAAAATGTCATCAGTTAAATGTCTGCTACTGTTTCATTTCCTTTTGAGTAACTCCTCAGTACGACCTAGAGGAACAACGCAATACAGAAAGGCAAAATTTAAAAAATGCAAATGATTGAACTTCACAGGTAAAACTCCAAATCTACAAGACTTGAGTTGTGCGTGTCGGTTCTATAACCAATCCTACATTTAAAAAGCTAAAGGAGCTTAAAAAAAGCAGTTTTAAAAAAAACTATTTTACAAAAGGAACAGAAGAGCAGTTTCTTAAGAACTTTACATGGATGTGGTCAACCTCACAGAAGCTCTCTAGGGCAAACAGGCACAACTGCAGAGAGGGTCAGTCTGGCATTCTGCCAGTGGAAGCTCTGTGGAGGCACCAGAAATGGTGACGTTGCTCTGCTGCGTGGCCCGGAAGGGGCAGCACCGCGGAGTCACCGCCAGCGCTGGAAGACGCCGTAAGCCTCCTGCGGTCGGAACTTGTCTGGCCCTACAGGATCAGTAACAGCTTGGGCACGCAAGGAGCACCACGGAGCACCCGCAATGGTAGCTGGGTTAGATGCAGCTCTCTCAAGTTGCAACCACCTTGAGGGCTTGAGAAGGTGCCCTTGAGACACTATCAAAAATAAAAAAGCACGTTGGAGCCCGGCTACAGCCTCCTGCTCATCTGCATGGCACAAGACGAATGACAGCCACGCTTTGGGAGCAAGGGTGGAAGAGGGATGGGTTGTGCTATGGCAGATCCTTCCAGCTGAGAGCAAAGACCCAGCAGACACAGAAGCATCCTTGGAAATGACTCCCTTTCCTGGCAGAAAGATGATAAAGAGGGACTTTTTCTGTCAGCAAAAAGTCTGTTTTTTCAACTGTTGCTCCAGAATGGTATTGATCACTTCAGAAAGAGAAGAGCACAAGTTCACTAATCCTGCTGAGAGTCAGCAGAGAGCAGAAGGCTACAGGTGAGCGTCAAAGGCAGAGACCTGGACAAGAGCCCGTGAGAGGCACAAGGGAAGGAGCATCTGCTCGCTGGGCTGAATCCTGAAGGGAAGGAGCAGATATGGACCAAAGACCACCAACATACCAGACCAGTGACAGAAGTAACCACGAGGATCATCCAAAATACAGAAAGGGAGCACTAACGGGAGCCTTTAGCACCACAAGCGTTTCTGGGGAAAGAACACGCAGCGATTTCCTGTCCAGCACAGAAATAAGTGTTTGGTTTGGAATTGGTTTTATACGCGTCTCTCCTGAGTCCACTCATTCCTCCAGTTCTCGTTCTTCCCCCAAAGGTTTCAGATAATT